CTACCGTATGGACCCTCAGATCACCGGCCGGTGCTATACACATTTGAGGGCACACCCGCCACTCCACCCGCGAGCAAATATCTGCTTCATAAAGCCGATTGGAAGAGATACAGATCTTGCGTTGAGGAAACACTACCAGCAGTTACACCATGCAGAACCCGAGATGTGGTGGATAATGCTGTAAATGTCATCACCACCACCATCCAAGCCTCAGCCAAACGGAACATTCCCAAGTTTGCTCCACAGCCCAACGCCATCAGAAGACCTCCACGGCACATCCTAGTTCTGATCAGACAGCGAAACAACCTAAGGAATGTTTTCCAGCGCACTCGTAACTACAGCTTAAAACCGGCCATCAATGCGATGACCCGGCAGATAGCAAGACTCATGAGCGACTGGAAGACATCACTCTGGCACGAGCAGTTACGAAGGACTCATGACGATTACCGTCAGTTCTGGCGACTTGTCAGAACCTTCGTTAGTAAGAAAAGAAGCGTGCATCTGACATCAGGAGACGCGCTACTAACAACTGGGGAACAGGCTGAACACCTGGCGAAAAGTTATGCAGCAAGGGATGCTGAGCGAACTAGAAGCTCCCCACCGGTGCAGCAGAGATCATCACCTGGACTCACTGAGAAGCCCATATTCTGCAATTTTAACCAGCTTGAGTCTGTACTACGATGTATCAAAGGAAACAAGGCGTCGGGACATGATGATATCCCGTATGTTCTACTGAAGATGCTCCCAAGGAAGGGTAAAGCCTTCCTTCTGAACATCTTTAATTCATGCTTGCGGATATCTTACTTCCCTACAGTCTGGAAACATGCCATCGTAGTGCCACTACTCAAGCCGGGGAAGAAAGGAGACATGACTGACCACTATCGCCCGATCAGCCTCCTCCCGCACGTCAGCAAAGTCTTTGAGCGATTGATTCATTATCATCTCCTGAGTCACTGCAAGGAAGAGCACGATATACCACCAGAGCAAACCGGTTTCCAACGCGGAGTCGCCTGTGAACATCATCTGGCTAAACTTCAGGCACACACCATAGAGCAGATGAATCACAACAAAGCTACGGCACTCATCTCGTTGGACTGCAGCCAGGCCTTTGACTGCGTGTCTCACGCGCTGTTACTTCGAAGACTGGAAGAGTACAAATTCCCAGCCCCGCTATGCCGTCTGGTCAGAAGCTACCTCAGTGGAAGAACTTTCGTCGTAAGAGTTGGTAATGACTATTCGAACCCAGTCGATACAACGTGTGGAGTACCTCAAGGGTCTGTGTTGGGGCCATTACTGTTCGTCGTTTTCACGGCGCCAGTAGTGGCACTTAAACATCCAGAAGCGGTGGTAGCAGCCTATGCTGACGATATCGCAGTCTATGCATCCAGCCTTAACGCAGAGAGAGCTCTCATGAAAACACAGAATGTCACAGATACCATCGTCAAGGAGCTTGAGAAGAACGGCATACAGGTAAATCCTAATAAGACCGATGCCATAGTGATGTCATTTCAGCAAGGAAAGAAGCCTCTGCCCACTCACTTCACCATTGGTGGAGTGGACCAGCGGATCTCCAACTCAGTCCTCTACCTAGGCGTGACTCTGGATATGCACCTCACCTTTACTAGTCACGTCAACCAGAGGCTCAAGCTGGCTTGGAAAAAGGAGTATAGGCTCTACCATCTGCTAAAGTCGCCGCAGCTCTCGTTGAGACTAAAACTGAAAATCTACAAGGCGGTCATCAGGCCTACGCTGCTCTATGGTGCACCGTTGCTCCGCCACCTGTATAAGTCCACGCTCAAGAAACTCCAGAGTTATCAAAACTCCATCCTTCGGCGAATAGTCAGAGGTACCACCCTGCAAAGGGCAAAGAATGTAAAGATCCGAGAGGAGCTTCAGCTCCAATCGGTGCCTGAGTTCATAGGCCGAAGACACGTCAAATTTTTCGATGGGCTGAAGGTCTGTGCTAACCCGCTTTTCCAGGAAATAGTACCGCCGCCCAGGCCTGGGAGGTGGCAAGGTAATGTCCCCTTGGTTGATGTTCTCGCCGAGGGAAGGGGTTTGGACTCTGTAGTTCACACCCACTAACAATAATATAAATAATAAATTAATGCAGGGCGGTCCCTCCACGCCCAGTGGTATAATAAAAGGCCTCTGGCCACAAATGCAAAGAACGCATACAGCGTGCAGAGCCCTCTTAACTTAAAATGCCCTTGGGCAATAAAAGGAAAGTTGAAAATTTATGTATATATACATTTATATACATACTGAATTTATTCAAGAAATTCCTGGGGGGTAGGAAAAAAAAAAAAAAAAAAAAAAAGATCTTATTTTTATTTAACTTTTTTTTTTTTTGGTCTATTGAAAACCGATTCCGGTATTATTTAATTCAACCATCTATATTATTTATACATCTAATAATTAAATTTTCGCATTTGAGTAAAAAAAAAAAAAATCATTTACTCTTATTTTATAGTTATAAATGTGTTTATCTGTGTATTTTATAGTTATCTGTGTACCGTATTATATTTATACAGTTTTCTATGTATTGTATTATGTACACAGATTCCACTGTTATTTATATATTATCTACATTGCTTATCAGTACAAATATGTAAACATACTGATATTTATTGTGTATAATTTTATTTTTATATTTACTCTTTGTTTTAATTCTAAGTTCACGTTACTCTGTTATTTAATTATTTATTGCCATTTTACGTCAGAAAAATGATACTCCTGTTGTTCATTATTATTTTTTAGAAGACTAAAAGTTCCAGAATAAAATTTATTTTTCTTCTTCTTCTTCTTCTTCTTCTATTTAATATATGATGCACATCTATTGAATTTATTTTTGTTAAAAATATTTTTTTTTTTAAATTTTATATATAAACAAACAGGTAGGGCGGTCACGGTGTTTTGTGCATCAGTCGTTATGTGCTATATATTAATTTAATTTTTCATTACAAAAATAAATCAAGGCAGAACAGGTCTAAAATAGTTGATAAAATATAATCCCTTAATTATGTAATTTAATGAATAGATAACGATTTGGTGGGAGTAAACATAAAAAAATCAACAAAGCTGAGAACGAAAATTTTAGTTATAATATTTTTAAAAAATAAATTTATATTAGAAAAATTAAGACAAACATATATGATTAATAATAGGTATGGCAAATACGTCATAACCATAAGAAATTTGAAAGAATCTACTATAAAACATTTTTTTAATATGATTGAATAAAACTGAATTAGAATACACCGATGATGAAGAAGTTTTTTACCATAGCTCTACATCGATTCTTTGAATAAAATATTTAATTTGTAGGAAACCAGTCTGAATTAAAATAATGAGATGTCTTTCAATACGTTTCTGTTCGATTCCTGATTAGTATTGGTGAGGCTAGGAGGGAGAAGAAAAGATGAAAGCCAAGACAAAATTACATTCCACGAGAAGAAAAGCATTGCCGAAATCACCGTCGGCTAGCTTCAAAATGATTTGAACTTGTGGGGAAGGAGAGAGAAATAGAAACTTAATATAAATGTGTATTACTAAATATCCGTGTGGTATTATCTTTGTATCTAAATAATCAATGATATATAATATAATTATTCCACTTATTAATTTTTTATCTTAAGTATAATTTTGTTCTACATTTTATCCATCTTGAAATATTGCTATATGTCCATTTCATTTTTTATTCATTGATATTTACAACTGTATTATAGAAAAAAATACGATTAAATGTGCACTGAGGTATATAATAATATGAAATCACTTGTTGAAAACTACACACTAAAAGCACCCAAATTATGTTTTTATTTTATTTTTATTTTTTTTATTATTTTTTTTTAGATATAGTTTTACTTCTAATTTCTAATATTGTTATATTGAAAATACTATATGCCAATCCCATCCAAAATTACCTCACACTTCTTTTTGCAATTTTCGCGGATAAGTTCTTCTGCTAAACGTTGCCGTTTTATTATCTATTGGACTAATCGATCAGTTGTGGGATAATTATATTATATATATCATTAGTTAAATAGATACGGAGACAATATTTTACATGTACTCGTCTTTTTCAGATGAAAATTTTGAATTGCATTTAAAATCAAATTATCCCTGAAAAAGCGAAAATTTAAATAAATTTTAAATAAAGTTTTTAGTCATCGAGACAGAAAAGGCCTTTTCTACTAATACGTATTATAGTCTCTTCCCCAAGATCATCTTTTATGAATAATATTTATTTCAAAAATATATTTCCTAAAATTATGTCATAAAATTCATGATGTTTGTTGATGGAGAGGGTTGAAAGCTGGGGCTGTGAAATTAATCTTTTCCCGGAAAGAAAGTATGTTTCTTAAAAATTAAGATCTAAAAAAATTGGGTAAACATAAATGAATACGGTATATATATATATACCGTATTCATATATATATATATATATATATATATATATATATATATATATATATTATATATATATATATATATATATATATATATATATATATATATATATATATACCGTATATATATATATATATATATATATATATATATATATATATATATATATATATATATATATATATATTTTTTTTTTTTTTTTTTTTCTGATTTTGCCATCTTAAACTTTACGTTGAAAAAGTCATATTAAATATGGCACATTTTTACCACAAAGAATAATTTTTTTGTAAAGCATTTTATAGAGCAAATGGACCTGTTGTTAAGTATTTTATTCAAATTAACCGTATAGTTACATTTTGTTTTCATTTTTACTCTATATTTCTGTGAAATGTGCACTTATGTTATGTCTATTAAAAAAAAAAAAATCTTGGTAGTTTGGTCTGGAAACTAACACGAACTAACTTACTCTGATACAAAGGGACCGGAATAAATTTAAATAGTTAGTTCCTGATACAAGTAACAGCCAACTTCTAAGCAACAAACTCTAATAGCTTTGTTGTAGTAATATATTTTAATTAAATTTTTACCCTGAATTCTCCAGATTCTGGGTCCATGTCCAGGAGCGAGTAATCAGTAATTCTGTCGCCATTGCTGTCAACATTGACTTCTCCAGTAATTCCTGAAAAAATAAATAAAAAAAATTATTGATTTTTCTGAAAATAAATTCTTAATTCCTTTTTTCCCAGTTTGAACCAGTAATAAAAGAATAGTACTAGAAAATATAAATTTTTATCGAAAACAACAAAAGGTATTTATCTTATTTAGGATTAAATATAATAAAAAATGATTATTCTAAGTACAGATATTGTTTTCTGATTCGTTACATAAAAGTTTCCGTTTGACAAAGGTGTACTTTGGATGTGTAGGTAGCAGCCCGCCAGTACATTATTTATATTTTTATTCATAATTTTAAAGACTCAGCATGTTTTACATTACTAAGAAAACTATAATTCCACTAAAAATTTCATAGAGTAAATTTTATAATAGGTATGAATTACTGTATCAATGATTATAAAAATTTACAAAAATGGAAAATTCCATGATTAAAACATGCAACTATATTTTAATTGTTGTGCAGTTGTGAAATGCCTTACTAAAATTGGAATGTACATTTACTCATTTTTTTTTTATTCTTAAACCGTGAACTGCTGAGAATATTTATCATTTAATAAAAATTGATTTTAAATATGAAGATTAAAACTGCATATAATGTTTTTTTTATTCTTTTTATCTGATTATATTTGTGGTGAGAATGAGCTTGGCAGGATTTGGAAACATTCCAAGATACTTTAACCAATTGGCACACCTTCCAATCGGCCTCATATCCAACGTAAGAGGACTCGGATTGTTGTAATATTTCTCAATTATTTTTGTCAAAATAAATTTTCCATTATGAGATAAAAAATATCTGTCAGTCCCAAGTGGATGAAAATTATTCAATTGCTTTTCACTCCAATTGTAATATAACAGGATCACAAAATAAAAATTTAAAAAAGTAGCTTCCTAAAAAAATTGGGTCGATTGGTCTATATTACCATGTTATTTTGAAATTTGGGTGGTGATTACGCTAAATGGCACAATACATTCGTAGGCCATCTTTATTTTCTATATTGTAATCATAGTATCTAACGACTGAAGTGGAAAGAAAATGAGTATTCATGAGTTTTTAGTTCCTAATTAAATAGACAACGTTCGCCGATATCCAGATTTACATCCACAACCCATTCCACAACCCACAATATCCCAATTCCGAAATTTTTCGTAAATAAAATATTTGTAGATGAAACTATCTACGAAGTTTCAGTTGGATGTTAATAATTTCGTAGAAAGAAGTCTGCACCACGGACCTATTTATTACCTTTACTTCAATTTTTACCTTTTTTCAACTAAGGTAGTATGGTTAAGTTATTATTATATCAATCAAGCATTAGTCAAGTATTAGAATAACTAAATTTTGCACTTAACGTGTTTTCTGTTGGTACATTAGTGCATTTTTGGAAGATACGGTTAATTAATATTATTACCTCACATCAATATCATTTAATTATTTGATTAGCTAAATTTTTACTCAGTATATTTTATGATATATTTAATACTTTAATGATATATGAATTTTTTTATCAGATTAATTTCTTTCATGATTTTATTTTTTATACTGCAAAAAAATCAGTATATTTCAAAGCTGAAAATGTTAAGAAGGGCACCACACAGGTACCAGGTTCTCGCTGATACTGCTTAATAAAGCCTGACATACTTTATAGATTCAACAGAAAAGAAGATCCTGAAAATCCTACACCTGGAAGGACTTTTAGGAAATGATGAAATACAAGGGCTCTTTGTATGAATAATCCACTAGGTCAGGGGTTGAGGGGGGGGAGGATGGGGGCGGATTCCCTTGTCTTTTCTCTTTCCTTATGATCGATGATGATACGAGTTGCTTGTTTTACTGAAACAATACCGTCCTAAGAATGATTCCACCATATATCTAGATGAAAACCAATCATTTGCTGAATGAGAATGCACTTGTTTAGAAATATTTCAATTGTCATAATTACCTAAAAACTATCAAAAATATATTAATAACATAAAGAAATGATTAATAAAATATTTTTGTTAAGGATTAGCCATGGGTAGCTAATCAAAAATAAAAACACTTTTTTAAGTTAATTTTATTAAATTAAATTAATTTTAAATTTTACCCAAATCGGAGAAAATATACATTTAAAAAGAAACTGACTACATATACTATACCTCATGTTGCTGTTGTTGTTTTTTTTTTTTTTTTTTTATGTGTCCTCTGCCTTCAAAACAATCTGACCAAGCTTGCTCAAGCAGCTGGAGAAGTATGAAGCACCCATATAACATAATAAAATAATATACTGGTACTGAAGTGTCACAAAGACAGATAAATCAAGTCTAGTTTATACTGTGACGAGTGTGTAGTGAAAGTTTATGTACACATAGTATGAGCAAAGATGCTGTGTGAAATGGATTTGTCAGTGACGCTCATACTTCATTATTTTTATTCCATCTTTGTATGTTTAGTTAAAATATATATTTTTGTTTATGATTAATCTTCTTAATTATTATTATGCAAGAGTATTTCTTTTTCTTTTCTTTCTTTTTCTTTTTATAGGCCTGTTCTTACAAGTATTACACCTGTAGGCCTCCCCAATTAAGAGGGTAATGATTTAACTTCCCGCGGGGACCAGCCGTATAGGGAAGTGTGCCGGGATTCGATCCTATGATCTTTACTTTACTAGTATAGCGCGCTAACCACTCTGCTATACCGGCCCTATTACCCATTTCTCATATTAATCAGTGACAAATCATTCCGTAATATCTCACCAGTTGTAGTAGTTTTGTGTTTTTCAACGACGGGTTTCTTTCTCTTTATTTTCATTAATTATTCTATGTTGTTATGTAACGGAATTATATAACGGAGCTTGGAAATTATATTTAGACCTCTCATTTAGATTTTGGATTTGTAATAAAATCATTGCTTGAATGAAGAAAATTATTTCTTTTTGCATTAATAAAAATATGAAACAAAACTTTCCATAGAGAATACCTACAATGACCTTAATGAAGAGGCGCTATGTTTGTTATTCATAGCACTTAGAATCATCAACTTTTGAACTTTGTTAGAGATGGCCTTATATTTGGTTTTATTAGCCATAACTAATAATATATACGACGATATAAGCTAACAGTTTTTTGTAACAAAACCGAAAATGAGTTATTTTTTGATTCTTGATTTTTTTTATAGGGGAGTCATTTTTATAAAGAAGTAAAAGAAAATGATATTTTTTTTTTTAGTAACTTACATTTAGTATCTGAAGTACTACAAATATTATATTATGATTCTTAAAGTATTTTAGTGATAACTTTTAGATAACTCATGAAAACAACTATAAACCAATGAGAAATAAATTATAATTCAATTATAGTTGCATGTTGAGTTGCTCCTAAACCATGAATCCGCGAGTATACCAACTGGGTGTGCATCAGGAGAATCTACTGACTGCAGGGTCGATTTATGGCTGATATAAGAGAAAACATATCAGCCAAACTTCAATTTACTCATACAATATATACTTTCCTTAAATAACTTTGAGTTTATTAGCACTCCAAATGATATGTTACCCTGCTCTCTAAACCAGGAAGTAGAGATAATATTAAAATTGTTGAATAAATAAATAATTAAATAAAACTTTTCATGCTCACCTCCAAACTTTCGATTCCACATCCTCTTCGTCAATGCGAAACCGTCTGACTGGTTGCCACCGCTTGAAAGGGTTTCGTTGAGTGCAAGGGCGTAGAGGAGTACCGCGTCGTAGAAAGCAGTTACGAATGTTGAGACTGGGTCAGGTCCAAAGGTGTAATTGTACCTTTCCTTGGCCATTACTTTTATCTGAAAAAAAAAATTATATAAGATTGAAAAATTTGTTTGAAGCACTCAAGAGGGTTTGGTTTTTCATCGGACTATGGTTAAGCAATACGAAGGGTTATGTGTTTGGGTCGTCCACTAGGAGCTATGTAACATATTTCACGAACGACTGAATCGATTTTTAAGTTTAATATCTCAAATAACTCGGTAAGATCCCGTGAGTATTTTGAAACATTTAGGGTTCAAACCTGGAACAAGTTATCGTATAATGCGGGTTTTAATCAACCCACTAGAAGGTATGTAACGATCTTTTTTTTACCGTACAGCTGAATCTTGTTTGACAGCTCAAATTATTCTGTGAGATCCCATAAATGTTATTTCATATCTACTCTAACACCTTTAGGATAGAATATAAAATAATTTTATTCTCGGACGAAGTCCCTTTAGAATAACAAAAAAGTACAAAATTATCTGGCCTAAATAAAAACAAACATAAAAAGTAAAAGAAAGTAGAGAAAATATTAGTTAAACATACTATATACAAAATATATATATATATATATATATATATATATATATATACAAAACTCTTGAAGCCATGTCAATACACTTAAAACTATGTACAGTGGTAAAATATAAATATGCACATTAGAAAAAAATAATAATGAAAAATACATAACATTCTTCTTAGCAGTAAACTCTGTGTGTCTGTTGAAAAAAAGAGAAAGTCGAATCTGATAGTAAGTATTTAAGAGATGAGTTATATGTAAATACATCATTATGAATAATATGTAATTTTACATAAAAGATTAGCTAGTATCTGACTGTTATTGGGACAGGAATTGGAATAGGAGGGTTTTAAATGTAGATAGGGAGGGAGAATGCCGAATTTCATTAGAAAGGGAATTCCTGAAATTCACAGAGCGAGCAATAAAGGAGTTTTGGAACGAGGCAGATCTGTGTGAAGGAATGTAAAGGTCGGAAGGTCGAGATCTTGTGGAAAGGGAGTGGACTGAATACTTGAATTGGAGAAGGTTGTAGGCGTAAGAAGGACGATGATTGTTGGTGATTTGATACAGGAACGGACCTAGGAAATATTGTCTTCGAATGGAGGGGAAGAGCCACCTCAGTGTAGTGGTGAGAGACATGGGAGTATCTCGGGGCACCAATTACAAATCTTACGCAACTGTTCATTCGTCTTTTCAGTCTGTCATGGAGCTCCACCGAGAGTCCGTCATTAACCAAAAAGCTATATTCTAACAAACAACTTCGTAGATTGTTATAGAAATCGATGCCTACGAATATTTTAACTTTGTGATGTACTTCCATTCAAGAGTATTGAGTTTTGGCATCCAATACCGAAGTTTAAATATTCGTAGGTGTAAATTTTCCTAGCAGTCTACGAAGGTATTTACGTTGATTTGAAAGAACATTCCTTCACGAGATGTTTATAGTCGGGTTTTATATAAATTCAAATAATTTGTTATTAGCATTATTAAAACCTAAATGTACAGCAATACATACAAGTATTTTAATCATATAATTAATAGTCTAGAAAAGCTATAAATTTAAACTAGGCTGCTTAAGGCTGTAAGATATGGCCTAATTTATATCGAGAAACTAGATCACAGTTCCGAAGGCTAATATAGACGAAGAGCCACAATTACTTATAGTTAAGGCAGTATTGCACTCGGCTCTCTACGCTTTGTTACTACGCACGGATAACAATTTAAATTATAATAAATCACCTTCATAAAATTATTTTGAAAATATCATTTATTTTATTCTTTAGTTGCAAATCTTACAGTTGAACACCTGTTTTAGTGTAACAAATATTGTTGTTCAAATAAATTATACTCAATATTGAAACATTACTTCTTATAAAAGAAACAATGGAATTGAAAAAAACAATTTAAAATTAAACAAAAAATACAATTTACTATTAAGAAAACGTAATTGATTATTTATATTTATTATTTAAGAGGACCAATAGTTGGTGATCATGAAGCGACGTTATAAAACAGTTAATGAAAATAAAGTAAAACCTATGTTCTCATCAAGAAATAAAATACTTTATATATACTTTAGTAGATGTTGGCCAAAAACTAAAACTGGCCAGGAACAATTACTATTTCGAGTTTAAATTACATTATTAAAGATTCATATAAATGATTCTTTCAGTTGACGGAATGACTAACTCCAATTTTAAAATTTTTGTATAAAGTCATTTTAGTAATATTTATAGTAGGAAAATTTATGTCTCTATAGACGTGACTAAGTTGATTTCAAAATAGGTGATTGCAGTGTTGAAATATAGAACTGGGAATAATGGTATACATTTTCCAACTAGACACTAATACTAAAATTAATAATAAAAAATGATGAAATTGTAGTTAATCATTCTGTCAACTGAAATGACCAATGTTAACCGTATATTAATATTTCATAAATTATGTACATAAAACTGTTCAATAATATTGAGTGCTACTTAAGTAACGATTAACAATTACTCTAGTACCTATACACTATTTTAACCTAGTAAAATTTATTCTTACGTTTCATTTCCATTAATGTATGTATATGTATATATATATATATATTTTTTTTTTAATCAATGACTATTATTTACGAAGATACAATTATAGTTACAAAGATAAAATTTAATTGACTTGGTCGAGCAGGTCAGCAAATATACTTCGCAGGGCGCAACTGTAAAGCAAATGATGAGGCAAGTGGAATAAAATGAGTGAATGGCGACATACAGTGACAGAAACGTATGGTGATTGGTGTTTGAGGAAACCTAATACTTGTGAAATCTCAAATTAACAGTGTATAATGATATTATATAACTAATTATGATAGCCTGCAAGACTTGGATACTAATCAGAAAGATTTGAGATTAAAATCCTTCGCATGATAACCATGGTCAGAGCTGCTTACAGAGACAGGTCAATCAATATCTTATGATATGAAGGCAAGGAAGTTAAGATATATATATAATATTGCATACAATTTTATTATAATAATCAATGAATATATTAAAAAGCTTGTGCTCCTCTTATACTGCATATATAATGGAATTAAAACCATTAGATCTTTACTGTTTCAACAATAATTGGAGAAGTTATCTTTATTTTTAGAACTAAATTACAGACTCGTATTTTTGTGCAATCAGGACCCGAGCCGATTAACAACTCTTGTTTAATTGCTGACCATTTCATTCCCGTTGTCCTCCATTTTACGAGTGCGTTCCCTCATTTACCGGATGAATTTTCTCTTGAAAACATGGGAACCTTAATTAAACGCTAACGAAATTAATAAAATTCTTACTGATGGTTAACCTCTTTTTTATGGTTAAAATTTTAGTTTGCATAATTAAGAACAATTAATAATTATTACAGAAAAACTATGAATCATATAGTCTAATTGTAAATTAGTATCCTGCAATTAGTAATCTTTTAGTTTGATATAAAATAGGTATATTCATAATCATTAATATAATCGTCATCGATATAATCATTTGTTGTGTTCCCATGATCAGTAAAAAATTAAATAATCAGCATAAGTAAGAAACTTCTGATAGCCAATAAAAAGCCGCCGAAAATATTGAGCAAAGAGCCTTATTTTTCTGAGAAAGTGATTCTACGTTCGTGTTTAAATATGAAATTTTAAATATGATACATTGTAAATAACACTATATTTAAAAAGAACTATCATGTTAATGTAAAACATTCTAGGCGTATTTTAAAAGAGATGGAAATTTTGTTTGTTAACGGTCGTAATCAGGCTGTGTATTCTATATGTGGCATTCCCATCTGTATTTCAGAAGATAATTAAAAATTATTTAATTGTTACTGTTTAAATGTTTAAAGACCTACCTATAAAAACCTCAGATCTAGCGATCAAAATTATTGCTGCTCATAAAAAAAAAAAAAACCTGATACTCGACTAACAAAACTCTAAGTACTGATCTCTACCTTCCAACATTTGCCAACATATAACGAACCTTTATCACGAATGGCAACAGAATTGGACCACGTTGGAGAATAATAAACTGAGGATAATCAAACCGACCGTCAGTTGTTGGGGCTCGTCCTCCAGGAAGAGTAGAAGAGAGGAAGTAGTCATAACACGCCTCAGAATTGGACATTGGCGGTTGACCCATGGCTGCCTGATGGCAAGGGAAGATCCACCTCAGTGTCAATTCTGTAAAATGGCTCTCACAGTGAGCCATATCTTTGAGGAGTGTCCTCGCTACAGGAGAGAGATGGAAAGACGTGGTGTACCTCGTCAGCTCTGTGAGGCACTAACATATAACGAACAACGTATCGATAGTACCATTGAATTCATTAAGAACATAAGGCTAATTCAACTGATCTGAACTAAATTTTTTTTTCTCACAAATTTGCGACATATTGACTTAATTTCTATTAGAAGTTTATGTATATATGTATAGATAGTAATATATATATTATGTATATATTTTTATTTATTCCTTTTTAGAACATATTTATTTTTGAAGTAGTTTTAAGATTGAAAAATAAATCAATCAGTACAATTTGAGGGCAATGATAACCGTCAGCAGATTTTCGCCCCTAATCCCAAAACAACAACAACAAGGAACCTTTACCAACGGTTTTACACTAAAACGGACATAACAATATATCAATACGAGACATGGCCACAACTGACATACCCAAGAACACGAGGAGAAGGTTGAAAAAGCGTTGGATGAGAGATCTCATTCCTTAAATAATCTGAGTAATTGAAAAAAAAAAAGTCACGGAAGAAGTGCTGCTGAGCATTTTCTTCCCCATGCCACTCATGTCAATATTTCTTGTATCTCCAACATATTTGCTGATTGTCAACCAAAATTTGACAGGTGAAAATACATTTTTATAGCAGAAAAAAAAGCTATTACCAGAAGTACTAATGCTGGTGGGAAGAACTACTCCGTAATGTGGGCCACTCGGTCCTTTTAGCCAACTCCTGATGGCTACCTTGGGGTTACCCAAGACCGCCGA